AAATAATAACACCACAATTTGATCCTGACTTAAAATAATTTTCAATTATATCTATTACAGCAAGTTTTTCCATAGAAATTGGTCAAACATTTTCAATCATAAAAAATATAATGCACACCAAAACTTTTAAAACTTTCAAAAAATCATACCCATCTATGACACATCCCCTTTTTCCATCTCAATTTTGAAAAAAAGGTGCAGGTGGTACAAAAGTAAATACAGTATATTTTTACATATATTGTGTATTAAATTGTCTTTAAAAAATTTTAAATGCTATATTATTTAATCCTGTATTTCAGGAAAGCTCCAGTAAAACATGCACCAGTTTTCCACCAAATTTTAGACTGAGAAAATGGGACTCTAAAAATGCAATACGGGTATACAACAGAATTCTGTTATCTCTCTACAACAGAATTCAAAAGGGACCAGAAAAAATTCTTTAAAGAGAGAATTTTGTTGTAAAGAACGCCCCTCTAACATTGGGAGAAAAACAATATTGTTCAACAAGGAAAATGTTTGCAGAGGATTGATTGTGTTACAGAGTTTCCATCCATATCTTAAAAGTATGGGAACACCCAAATTTGAAATTAGACAAACTGTATATTGAACCTAAATTCAACAATTTTATTGATTCCATTAAAATGAGTCTTTCTGTAAAATTGGCCAGAAATCTCTCATTAGAATGATCCAGTACAATACACAGCTAAAATTGAAAAACATTTTGATTTATGAGAAAAAATGTGCGCATTGGATGAGTTGAGTCAAAATATAGGGTAACACAAAAAAATTCTAAATTACCGGATTTTTGATGACCAGGCCAAAAAAATAAAGCAAGAAACTAAGGTCTACAATTTCAATTCGGAAATGAATTGAACTCTCACTCACCTACCTCGTCGATGAAAGAAACTTCAAAAATTCGCTTCAAATCCTCCTCATCATGCGCAGCTTCCGCCAAACGGATTGGACATGGTGGACCTCCACTACCCATTCTGCCACTTCCAACCGTACGTCAGAAGAGTGGGTCCATTGGACGGCTTGGTATCACTAGACCTCACCAACATCATCGACATCACCCTGACGGCTTTCGGCGGAGTCTTCTTGGGCACCAGAAACATCGGATCGGCAGCATTCGAGATAGAATGGATCAGCGTTTATCGGGAGAGTCCTCCATTCCTTCCTCAAGGCAGCCACATGTCATCAATTCGCAGCGAAAATCCCCAGGACAATTTTCGGCACAACAACATACATTAGTTCTCATTTCTGGGAGCCATGCTCAGGCGACATCTACGAAAGGCGGAGACTACTTGGGCACCAGAAACAACGCATCGGTATTATTCCAGATAGAGAGGATCGGATTTAATCGGGAAACCCCTCCATTCATTCCTCAAGGCAATCCCATGAAATCAATACGCAGCGAAAATCCACTCGAGAAATTTTGGGCACAACAGTATAAAGGAGTTACCTTTTCTGGGAGCCATGCTGAGGCGACATCTACGAAAGGCGGAGACTACTTGGCCACCAGAAACTGGATCGGCAGCATTTGAGATACAGAGGATTGGATTTAATCGAGAAAACCGTCTATTCATTCATCAAGGGAATCCCATGAATCAATACGCAGCGAAAATCCACTCAAAATAGTCGAGAAATTTTGGGCAGAACAGTATACAGTAGTTACCTATTCTAGGAGCCATGCTCATGCGACATCTACGAAAGGCGGAGACTTCTTGAGGACCAGAAAACCTAGGTTCAGCAGTATTCGAGATAGAGAGGATGGGAGTTCATCGGGACAATACTCCCTCCATTCATTCATTCCTCAAGGCACGTAATCAATCCGCAGTAAAAATCCACTCAAGAATTTTTCGACACATAAGAACAGTCGTCTTTTCTGGGAGCCAAGCTGAGGCGACATCTACGAAAGGCGGAAACTTCTAGGGTACCAGAAACATAGGAGCGGCCGCATTCGAGATAGAAAAAATGACTGATAATATAATTAATTACGATGACCAATTCTGGGAAATTAAAAAAGTAAAAAATTCTGTAAAAAATATTTTTTACTCATAAAAATATTTGAAAGTCCAGAATAATTAAAAAAAAATTGTTTCATGCGAATAAATAAATTCCATTTTTTAATTAAAACATCATGTTAGACTCTGCAAATTTTATTTGAATAAAAGTATTCTTTTAAAAATACTACAAAAAAGTTTTAAAGAAAGAAGAAAAAATTCGGCACTGGCAGACAAGAGGTCAGAATGACTCAAATTCAGATTTCGATTAATATAAAGGGAAAGGGAATTCATAACTCCTTTCACATCTTGAGTCTCTCCTCAAAATGAGAGCAAATCAAAACAACATCATCTGATGATAACCGGGTGAATAAAGAAAAATGTCCTTCAGGCATCCGTCACCGATTCCGCCAGCCTATATTATTCCTTCTTCTCCTCCTTCTCTTCCTTCTTGGAAAACCCGCCTTTCGGAACAGCCTGGAAATACCCATAGGTCTTCATCTTCTCATACGCCTTATCCGCGTCGTACGTGGAATAAAAGTCCTTGTACGCCTGCTTCCGCCTGCCCGTGTACA